GCCAAAGGCTGGTAGGATTACTCTTATTTGATTGTCTGTCTCATAAACAAACCAAGCGAGAGCCTTAAGAATCCATTCAGACATTTGTTCAGTCTGAACAGTTTCCACATGGAGTCCTGTCTACACGGAAGATGCCTTGTTGTGAGTCATACAGAGACTATTTACCTGTATTCTCTGCCCTGCAGAAGCTAAATAAAGTCAAGGAGGGGGCTGGAAAAAGACATGTACGCTACATACAGGTCAATATAAACCAATCTGAGGGTGGTGATGAGTCCTCGGAGTGGACGGAGGGCTAGCAGAGCAGCAGGGAGGGGCTCCAGCCCTTCTGTGTGTTCTGTTCCTTCTGCGAGCTGCTCCTGAGATCAGCCTTCCATAAATCTACTAAATGAAAAGAGTGTTGCTAAGGTCGCTCCTGTCCTGACACTCTGTGATTCTAAGACGGAATATGAGAAGGGGGTATAATCCCAGCCCACAGAGGTTGCCACCCAGGCGTGCCTTTGTAGCCCAGATGTGGTAAGATTGTGCTTAATCCTCTCTTTAGGTGGTCTGGTCCAGAGAGGACAGGTGGAAGCGAGACGGGAGATGCAGCGTGGTTTGTGGGGACTGTTTCCAGCCTCCCGGCCCATGGCTTAGAGGCAGAGGAGAGCAGATTTGAAGCTTCTGGAAAGATTTGGTCAGGAAAATAGCAGAGAGCTTCTGGAATATAACTTTAGAAGTACTGTGTCAGTGTGAAGAACTTGGCAAAGAGAAACAGAGGAGCCACAAGGATGACTGAACATTTGAAAAATAAGACCTGAGAGGAGAGGTTAGAGAAACAGGAGTTATGTAACCTGGAGCTCCTCGGAGGTGACTTTGGCAGGCTTCTTCAAGAACAGGACTCCCAGTATCTCAGCACGGAGAGCAATGACTGGCTCTTTCTGTCCCTATCAAGGGAGGACAGACTCCAACCGAACCATGAAAATTTTAGATTTGATCTGTGGAAAAGTTTTCCCCTTACATTAGCTGTGAAACGTGGAATACATCATGGAGAGAAGTTTATAGAATTTTCTCTTTTTCCTGTCTTTAAAAACAAAAATGGAATACAGTAGAACCTTTTTATAATTATGCTAGAAGACAGGCTTCATTTTTCACTATAGAATATGTCCTATCAGGACATGATTGGTTGGGAGAATAACTGGTTTCATAGAACAGTGAATCATATTAATTGTGATAATGAGTTCTAGGTAGGATGGCTGTGTAAATTTTCCTTTAATCTGCAACACTTTGGAGAGTGAAATGGGGTGCTATTAATTATTACACTGGGACAACAAGCATAAAATGGCATTGTCCCTGCCATACTATGACATGTGGTCACCCTGATTCTGGGCCTGTCTTGTCAGAGCGATCTTCTTAAAATATAAATCTCACATTCTCTTCTGCTTGGACTCTTCTGCGGCTTCCCATTGCACTTCAAATAAAACTCCCAACAGTGGCCCATGAGGGCCTGCGGGAGCTGGCTCCTGCCCCTCCCTAGCCTCATCCTACACTAACACGGTCCGTGGAGCATGCCCAGCATGTTCCTACCTCCGGGCCTCTGCCCTTGGTCTCCTCCACCAGGAGCCTGGCTCCTCTGCCCCAGCCCACCCCACCCTGCCCTTGGCCCAGCCACCACCTTCTCCTTCTCCTTTGGGTCTCAGCTGGAATATTACCTTCTCAGAGGGCCTTTCCCTACCTCCTGTTGTTACTCTTTTCATCTCCCTGCTTGTTTCCTTTCTGGAAATGATCACTTTTCTTCTGGTGTTCTTTTTCACATGTACACGTCATGAGGGCAGGATGTCATGGCTGAGTCACAAATACCTGGCCGGGGCACAGTGCCCAGGACACAGCTGCTTGATAACTAGGTGCAGAATGAATGACTCACTACATGTGGCTCCATGTGGACTAATCCATCTCCTGATTTGCCTTGATACTGAAAAGGCCAAAGCTTCTAAAATGTGAATCAGCTCCATTATGTAAGTTCTTTCATTCAACAGAATTGGATGAACACCTACTGTGTGCACAATCCTATGCTAAATGAAGCCTAAAACAGCACCATGTCCTTAGAGAACATAGAGTGTCTAGCTGAAGGGGCAATAAAGAGATGTTAACCCAGTTAAATAATAGCATAAGCTAAGTGCCAATTAAGGGACCAGGACAATTGTCACTCTATATCCTCCCTTCCCCTGATCTATTTTTCTTCCTAGTAGTAACCACCTGACATAGTAATCATAGTAGCATATGGTTGCTTATGTCCTTATTGGCCCTTTCCCTTGCCAGAATGTCAATGCCAAGACATAAGGGATTTTCTTTTTTGTTCACTGTAGGTGGCACATAGTAGGTGTTCAATAAATATTTGTTGGATGAATGATGTGGAAGAAAGCAGAGGACCTCTGGACTACATTTGGGACTCTGATGGGCCCTTTAGGGAGGGTTGGGGTTGGATTCCACTGTGGATGGAGGGAGAGCAGGGAATTGAGATAACAGCACAGGTAAGCGCAAGGAGGGACCAGGAGGTACATGATGTTGATGTGTTTGGTATAGAAACAAGCCAGTAAACTCTCAGTGTTGTTTCTTGACCTTGCAAATGAAGTCCCTTGGCCCCTCTCCCCTCATCCTCACTCATTTGGTCTGGGTGAGACCCAAGGCAGAGGTGTCAGGGGAAGGCTGGCCGCCACACACATTCCTTGGTATTGGCATTAAAACAGTGGAGCGAAAATAGCCAGCCTCAGGAACGTGTGGGCAGCCGTGAATGTCCCACTATTCCAGGGATTAAAATTCAGTTTATGGGTTGTCCAGGCCTCTTAGCTCTCCTTCCCCTGAATCCCCATTCTGGCAGTTTCGCCACCTGTTTTTAACTCCTTCGGAGGTCAGAAAAATGTAAGGAAGCAGTACATAAATCACTGTGTGTGACAGTTCCAGCCTGGCTTCAGAAGCATTGCTCAGTCAGAGGCCATGGGCAAGGGGGACGGGCTTTACCTCGGACCAAACTCGGTCCAGTCCGCGGTGAGGAGAGGACATAGGTAAATGGCCAGGGGGCTGGGTGTGACCGCATGGGCAGCCTTCACTGCGTAGGCCAGGCCTGTGGGGCTCATAGGATCTATATTGTCCTTAAAGTGCCATTCTGTTCCAAGGAATAGCACTCCAAGGCGCCTCTCCACTACCGCTGGAAGAGAGCTCGCTGAGATTAGGGTTCTTTGGGAATGTAAGTACGAAATGGCGAGGCCTGTGTGGGTGTCAAGAGAGAGAACGAAAGCCAGGAGAGGATGGGGCACCAAGCAAGTTCCCACGTTCACAGTTATCCTTCAGGGGTAATCCTGAGAGTGGAGCGGGTCCCTTTCATGGCGACAGAGCTGCCTGTGTAAGGACAGCCACATGCAGAGGATCTGCAGCAACTGGTTGCATGAGGGTGTTTCAGGCCTGCTTCAAACACAGCATCCTTATCTAAACAAGCATGAGTATAATAAATTTTAGAGTTTCAAATGATAAACTATTTTAAATTATAAAACATTGGGTAAAATATTTGAAACATACAGAAAATAATGCAACAGGCACTTTCTTTATATGTATCATCTTTAATAAGTGTCTCAGAACATCAGTTCCCTAATTTTTATTTATTTATTTATTTTTGAGACAGTCTCGCTCTCTTGCCCAACTATAGTGCTGTGGCGTCAGCCTAGCTCACAGCAACCTCAAACTCCTGGGCTCAAGCGATCCTCCTGTCTCAGCCTCCCAAGTAGCTGAGACTACAGGCATGCATACCCACCATGCCCGTCTAATTTTTTTCTATATATTTTTAGTTGGCTAATTAATTTCTTTCTATTTTTTTAGTAGAAATGGGGTCTTGCTCTTGCTCAGGCTGGTTTCGAACTCCTGACCTTGAGCAATCCTCCTGCCTCAGCCTCCCAGAGTGCTGGGATTACAGGTGTGAGCCACCGCGCCCAGCAGTTCCCTAATTTTTATTTTTTTTATTTTTTTTTTATTTTTTTATTTTTTTGCACTAATCCATGTGGGTAAGTTCCCTAATTTTTTAAAGCAAACTTATTTTAGAATAGTTTTAGATTTACAGAAAAATTATAATTCTCATATATTCCCAGGCCCAGTTTTCCTGATTATTAACATCTTATATTGGTATAGTATATTTGTTACAGTTAATGAACCAAATTGATTAAAGTTCATGCTTTATCAGATTTCCTACCCCTAGTGTCCTTTTTCTGTTTCAGGATCTCCTGTTACTCTTACATCTCCTTAGGCTTCTCTTGGCTTTCTCAGTTCAGGCCCCTAATCTTTTAAATAGGGTGATACTCTCTTCCCCATGTGGTTGTTGGAATTTCCCAAGAAAAGCTAAGCCAAGATGCTTTGAGGACTCTAAAGCTCTGTGTCGGTATCTCTCAAGCTTTAGCTACTTTAGAATTTTTAACTTGGGACTTGTTAAAATGGAGGTTGCACTTCCTCCTCTAACCCCGCCCCCACCCCAGTTTCTGTTTTCAGTAGGTCTGGGAGTTGGGAGGGGGCTGAGAATTGGACAAGCTCCCAGGGGGATGCTGATGGTGCTGGTCTGGGACCACACTTTGGAACCACTGCGCCGTGTAACTGTAAGATCCGCTCATTGCCGTGCAGGTAAGCCCACCATCTTTATGCCACTCTCTTCCTACCGTGTTTCCCCGAAAATAAGATCTACCCATAAAATAAGCCCTAGCAGGATTTCTAAGCCTTTGCGCAATATAAGCCCTACCCCGAAAATAAGACCTAGCGATGGGTGAGGTTACGCAGCGTGTCTGCACAACCCATGCATTTTGTCGCAGAACAGTAAAGAAGAGGAGCAGCCCTTCTCATCTGCCCCACCGTGACAGCTACTACCCTAGAGGTGACCAGAAAGGTGCGGGCAGCCCCACCAACAGGGTCGGCTCCCCTTGTCAGGTCCCGACCATCCTGTGCGTGCTGCAAGCTGAGGGTTTGAGGGGAAAATAACACATCCCCTGAAAATAAGCCCTCGGTGTCTTCTTGGGGAAAAATAAATATAAGACCCTGTCTTATTTTCAGGGAAGCATGGTAATAGCAGAGTAGTTTCTAGAGGCCACAATTTCCTGTTTACTTCTGCTCCAGAAACTCCTTGAAGACTGTCTCACAACCCAAAAGTATTCAGTATCTGACACCCAGATTTATCACTGCTGGCTGGAGTCCATACGACTGATGGCTAGAGATGGAGACAGAACCCCTGCCTGTGCAATCTGTGTCACTGTTTAGTGGCCCATGTGATTAGGGGGTTACTGGGAACCAGCAACGGGTGCCCTCTTAGGAAAACCTAATGCACTTGGCATGTTCTTTATTCCTTGCTTTTGTCTCTTAAGAAAGCAGTGTCTTAACTGGCCGTTGTGGAAGAAAGCATGCCCACCCCGAGTAATTTTAGTATAGCATCTATTTGGGTGGCTATTAGAAGCTTGGATTTAAACCACTGTATTTTTACAGCTGTAGAATCTGGTGCTTGAGTTCATTTAACAAGCAGCCATGGGTTTGTTTTCTGGCCTGGGTCTGCCATTGGTTGTTTTCGGAAAATTTGATCTTGGGCCTTATTTCTAGGAAAGTTGTACTGTAATTTTTATTTAGATGTTGATGGTAGTCTGTTGTTCTCGCTAGCCACACTTTAATTCTGAAAGGTCGTGGACTCGTGATGGATGATTCAGATACTTAAGCCATGAAAATTAAAGATTGCTGGTTTAATTAGAGTTGCAGTCCAAAGGGGAGATTTCCCTGGTCCTGGTCTCTCTGCGGCCAGCAGTCAGATAGGATTAAAGAGCTGTACAATCTTCCTTGTGATGTCCTTGAAAGTATCACAATCCTTGGCCACCTAATCGGAGATGCCTGCAGCTCCAGGTTATCACGTGTTACTGTGTGTCACCTAATCTCATATTACTAGTCTGCTTTGGTCTTCTGAGTGCTCTTCTGGAAGTGTGCTGAGATCAGCATCAGCTGGGAACTTGTTAGAAATGCAGATTATCAGGCCCCACCCCAGACCTGCTAAATGAGAAACCCCAGGCCGAGTCCCCACAGTCTGAGTTGTAAAAGGTCTCCAGGTGATCCTGTGGTGCACTCACGTCTGAGAAACTCTTTTATACTATTTTAGAGTATAACCCATCCTGAATGGCCCTCCTGTCTTTTCCCCCAGTTTCTTCTTCAGTCACTGGACAACATGTTTTATCTGTTCAATTAATATTTAGTGAGCAGGCTCTGTGCTAGGTCTGGTTCGAAGATGATCAGCTGCCTTACACAGCGGGGCTTCTCAGCCCCTGATATATATTGGAATCACCTGGGGTGCACCCCAGGTGCCTTACTTTCATCCCAGATCAATTAAATCAGAATTGCTGGGGCTACAGCCAGGTTTAAAACTACTTTAAAAGCTCCCAGGTTGAGAAACACTGGCCTGGTGGGAGGGAACGCCAATTGGGCGGTTTCAAACCCCATGGTAAGTGTGAAGATGGGGCAACTAGAAGGAAGGGAAGGGAGGGTCACTTTGCCCAGGCTCACGTTGGGGGGCAAAGGAGGGGAAGTATCTGCAAAGCTTTTCTCGAAGTTTTGTGTAAAGCTAAACTAAGAGAAAGATAAAAACATGGTTTAAATATGGAACACAAGTGATTCCAAAGCAAGGTGTGGAGGAGAAGCCCAGGAGACGTTCCTCTCTTCTACCATGCATGTGAGTCATCCTCTGTCTTCGTCCCAACCCTCAGTGGCAGTGGCCAGCGAAGGGCCAGCTGAGGCCACACCCAAACTGGCTGGCATGTCCTTTGATCTTGCAGTCCTCCCTCCACTGGAAATGCCTCTTCCAGCTTTGTCTTAAGGACCACTTACTTACACATGGAGAGTGTGTAAGTGTCCCTCTCCCTCCCTGTCTGTCTTTAAGAGGATGCAGCCCACACCCTTCGGTGGCCATCCTAATAACAACAAATTTTCTTCCCAAGAATTTTAGTTTGTTCTTTCTTTCTGTGCTTTGATTAAGAGGGTTTTTGTTTTATTTGTTTTTTTAAAGAAGAAGAGGAAGTGTTTACATAATAAATAATTCCTTATTCATGGAGCCCTTCGTTTTTGATGCAGGAGGTCAGGTGGGGAGATTGAATGTGAAATATTAGCTGTCTTTGCCAGTTGCTGTACCCTGTTACCATGCCGTAAGCCAGAAATAGAAGCGACCTGTTTTCAATGACAGATCAAAATTTAGTGCTATGTTGATAGTTCAGAACGAAGATTTTTTGACACAGCGAATGAAATACATACCGGTGCATTTCTGGTTGTGATTTAGCTGACCAAGTAGTTCAGTTATAATTATATTATTTTTACTCCTGAAGATCATTACTCTGAATGAAAAATGCTTCGGCATCCAGAATGTTAGGAGGTGGATGGTGAACATTATTTAAAACAAAAATTATTTTTACTGGGCGATGAAACAGCTTTATGGGCATGTCAAGACTAGAATATGGTTGTTAGCATTTAAAATTAAATGAAAACATGGACTTTTTTTTTTGGTTTAAAAAATAAACTCAACTGTCAGTTGTTTTCTGCCTTCTGTGAGCCATCTCTTGTCCTTTAAGCCCCTTATAATGTCATGGGGAGACACGTCTAGGCAATATACAGTCGACATAAATCTGAGGACATGAATAGTATAAAAGGGCATTGAGAAGAAGGGCTGTGGGGGAGGCCAGAGTAGTTTGTTTATTATTGTTTATGAGGGGCCATGCTCTTTGGGACTGAAGTATCTGTTAATAGTAGGTGTAAATTTGATCTGATCTCCGTAGCACTATGTTTTTTGGGCAAATATTTCTCTGGGCTCTGATTACAAAGGTGTTAGTAGAACTTAAAATGTCCTCTTACCCTCAGGTTTGAAAGGCTGTGTATTTATAAGGGTTGAAGATGATGTAAACATCCACCAAGCAGAATGGTGTTCTCATCATGACACCTTGCTTCCTCACTGCCTGTAATATATGTTTGTAGTATTTAGAAATCCTTGAATGAAGAAGCATTTTAAAGAGACTAAGTATGAGATTAATGCTGTCTTCTCATTATCACTGCCTTTTTGTGCAATAAAATGATTAAATAATTCATTGCATGATGCATTTTAAAATTCAAAAGTTTAAACCTAGACTTCATTAGGAATCATTGGACTAACTCTGAAATGTAAACTTTCAAGAGACTATAATTGAATAGATTTAGCCTATATTTATGAAAAGGAGAAATCTCTTGGTGATTATCTTTTTTCTTCTTCTCTAAGGACCTTTTTCCTAAACTCTGCAGGTCTCTTGTCTGTTGACTTGATTAATGAATATTTTGCCCACTAAAATTGGCCATTAATTATTTCCTTGGGTAGCAGCAATAATTACATCTTTCAAGTAAAATCTAATTAGCATAATAAGCAGAAAACACCCTGCCAGGTGATGCGGGATTGTGGGGAGCTAGCTAGTTACTGCCAGAGATGGCTGGTTCCCCATGCGGTCGCAGCAGTTATTGTCTAGTTGGACTCCAGCAGCTACATTTAGAGAATCTAGACTAGGTCGCCCCAGAGTGGGAATTTAGATGAGGCAGCTCTGTGGACACTCTCGTTAGAAAATACTACCTAGTGGCATATATTAATAATCGTGATGTCATTTAATAATTAAAAATCCGATTACCTTTCATTTATTTATCGATTGCTTCGGTGGTGACAATTATTTGCCAGCTCCGGTGTGAAGTTCTGGGGACAGAAGAGAAACAGTGTGCTGTCTCTGGAGAAGCTGAGTCTGTTGGGAACATAAACACTTTAAAATGTAGTTCAACCTTTTAATAGACCTGCCCACTGAGGCAGATTCTACCACGTAGGTTCATGGGAAGCTTGGAGAGGAGGAAACCTTTGTAGTGGACTTTGGAAGACGGATCTGAGGATGACTACAGAGAAGTGTTTGAAAACAGACTATGTTACAAGGGCATATCAATCAGGGGCCCAAGAAAAAAAGACAGTTAAATACAGTGGCAGTTGATAGGGGTGTGGCAGGGTAAGGGATGTTGAGGCACCGGGACCGAGCAACAGGGTAAAGCTGAGGGGCCAGGGGAGGGGACACCGTTACCAGGACCTGGAGAGAATGGCAGCTTTGGAAGAGGGGTCACCTCTTGGAGGTTTGTGGTCCTAAGTAGAGAGTAGCAGCTGCTTCCAAAACCATGCCTAGTTGGGAGGGAGTAGGAGAACACCCCACCACCCTCTCCTTTTGCCCTCTGATTTCCTACTGGTGTGTCCTATAAGCTGAACCTAACCTGAAACAAGGAGAGTCCTGGTTATAAAGGGGTCAGGGCACAGAACAGGGCAGAAAACAAAGAATGGGATAATCAGAACAGAGCCTCCGGGCTGAAACAAGATGCGTGCAGAGGATGGGAAGGCGTTAGGAGTTGCTAGAGTGTAGGGGATGTTGTAGAGAACTAGAGAAAGATTATTTGGAGACTTTGGTTGATGGAGCCAAAGTGTCAGTAATCTTTTTACCTGTGTGTGGGAGTGGGCTTAATGCATCATATTATTGATTTGTAATTTAGTAATCACAAATTGAATTTGAGTTTGAATTTTTTACAATCGCCATTTGAGACTCATTAGTGGGTCATAAAATCAATTTAAAGTGTGGTCCCAACCATTTAAAAAATGATATGGTATTATCAGGATGCGTTGCCTATAGTGAAGTTGAGTAATGTTTTATAAAATTTTGTGTATTTGTGTCTGTGGAGGGTTGTACTGGTTACAATTTAAAATGTATTTCTTACTGTGGGTTGCAGTGAAAGTGTCGGAAAAAAACCAAGCTAGATCGCTGGCTGCAGTATGAAGGTACACTTAAGAGGGGAAAGATGGATGGGCTGGGTATAGACATTCAGCCACTAACATATATTTTTTAAAGTATATGTTATCTCTGCATTCCTTTTTAAAGCCAAGCCGTAAAGAAATGAAGATTCAATATCTGTATGGTATTGAATCCACATCTAGAGTATTAAACTTCATCTCAAGTAAGCCAAGAAAATCCATCATAGTATCTGCCTTCCATTTTCTGAAACTCAACTGATAGTAACATTTACCAAGTCCCAAAAGTCTCCTGAACCTCTCTGAGGAATCTGATGTCTTGTGATTACTTTGATAATGTCTCTTTTACTTAAGCATGATAGAGAGTTTTGCATTTGGCTTGAATGTGTGATAAAATCATTTAAATGTGTCTCGGTTTATAAATTGGAAGGCCTTTTATACATAAAGCAAGTTAGTTGATCCCATAGTTTCTTGTGAATCAGAGTGGTTTTTAATAAACTCAGCTGAAAGTTAGACAAAAGATTTTCTATCTTGGATGAAAAGATGTATGGCTTTTTGGAAGAACATTTGAAGAACTTTCTGCTGAAAGTTCTTCCTCTTCCAAGAGAAAAGTTGTAATCCAGGTGTGTGTGCACACTCTTTAAGCTCCAGGGATAGCAAAGGAAAATAAAATCTAAGTTCTTCAAATAATTCAGGTCTCTATTTTAGTGTATGGTTTGAGCCTTCTCTTCCCACAGATTATGTGCCAGGGAGACTAAAGAGTAAATATCTGACTGTGTTGGGTTATTCCTGTTGGAAAAGTAACTCTGAGCCCACCTTATCTTGGCAGCTGAGGTGGAGCCTTAGATTTTACTCTGAATCAATTAAAATGTGTGCATCTTGCCTCAAGCTTGTGAGGGAGTTGATACAAGTATCATTATCTCCATTTCACAGGTAAGGAAACTGACTGACTTAAAGCCAAAAGCTAGAAATAGTTCAAACCTGGACTGGAGTTTCTGGTGTTTTTTAAGGAAAAATTTAATAGGAGATACAGATATAGTAACTGTTTTAGTCTCTGTCATGGGTTTTGATTTTCATCAAAATTTGTCTACGTGTTTCATTCCAGTGCTCCCAAAGCATTCTAATGCTTCTTTCCTTGAAGCACTTTCTTAATGAGACGTCAGAAACACTCTTGTGGGGAATGTTGATAATGGGGGGAGGCTATTCACGTTTGAGGATGGGGGCATGGGGTATAAGGAATATCTCTGTATCTTCCTCTCGATTTTGCTGTGAACCTAAAACTGCTATAAAAAAGTAAGTCTTTTTATAAATAGGAAAGAAAGAAATGGTTTATACCTGTATACTTCCCCATCCAGTTGATCGCCTGGTCAACTTGTGCTGATTCCTGATACCATGGTGATAAGACCAAAAGCAACCCCAGGAGCAACTTCAGGGTCCAGAAATAATTCTATGCATAGAGTCAGACATTGGTAATCAGAAAACATAAAACACTATTAGAAAGCTTAAGAATGCCACTTCTTACCTGCTCTCGAGCTATAGGGCTGCTGAGGTCCCATGGCTATGGCTGGATAGCACTTAAAGAACAAGTGTGCAAGGCAGGATGCCTAGAAGACATTCAGTGAGCCTCTGGGGATGTGTGAAATGAGGTTGGGCCATAGAATAACAATTTTTTTATGTTAATAGTTATGTAATGCTTATTTTAACTTTGTTATAAAATTATCTGTGTTCATTTATGGAAGAGATATAGTAAAACCACCTTTAAAATACAAAGAAAAGGCCAGTGGGCTGTTTAATTTGAGAGCATTGATGCTGAATAGGACACAGTGTAAAACAAAGCAAATTATTTCTACTCTGGGGAGGCAGCAAGTATGGTCAAATAGCACACACTTTGAAGTTAGACAAAGCTGGATTTAAGGCCTTATCTCCTGGTTGTGCAGTGTGAGCCTTTACTGAGCCTTACATTTTCCTGTGGGAAGAGGGGTGGGGCAGGGATGTCTCCCTTGCAGGGTTTTCAGGAGGACTGCACACGGAAAGCAACTCATTCTATAGTGACTCAGTAGACAGTCATGGTAATATCTTTATTATCAGTTATTGCTACTTGAGAACTACTGATTGTTCACAAATGTTGTCCCACAATATAAACACTAACTGCTTTCAGACCTGACTACCTGAAATAATAGTAATAGCTAAGATTTATTAACTATTTCCCATGTACCAGCCCTGTGCTCTGTGCTGTATATGGCTTCTCTCTTAATCCTCTGAACCTCATAATATGTAGGAGCTATGAGTCACTGTCTTTCCTATCAGAAAACTGAGACTGGGGATGAGAAACTTGCTTAAGTCATACAGTTAGAACATAGCAGACTGTACCAGTAACTACCACATTATGCTGCTGTCTAAAGAAATTAAAGGCTTATTTTAAAATAAAAAGGGCAAAAGAAAGTCCAGAGTTGCTTCCCAGAAGCCCTCCCGCAGAAGCCAAGATTGTCAGGAGCCATCTGCCAGATAACTGAGAAGGGCCAGGGACTTCCCAGACGCCCAAATTCACACCATCAGCGAGATCAGTCTGAGTTCCAGCTCAGCATGAGCCCCCACTCATTAGCAAGTGGAAGGAACACACAGCCTGCGCAGAATCGGGAGCAATAAATCCCTGACTAGTGCATAACCTCTGTGGCCGGTGAGCCTGAACGCTGTGTTCCTGGCCGCCACCTGGGCACAGAGACAGCGTGCATGATCCCCTCCCTGGCCAGGCAGAGCTCCTCGGATCAGAGGTCGACCTGAGTAAGCTGTGCCCCGTGTGCACTTACGTTGGTAACTCTTGGGAAGAGCCGTCTGGGCGCTCTGTGTGCAGATGTTCACCTTTTTCTCTGGGTGGCTCTTCTTTCTTCTTCTTTTTTTTTTTTTAAAGTAATGATTGGGCTTCCCTGGGAGATGGGAAATAATGAAGGTGATTCCTTTTGCCAAATCCTTGACAAAACTGGCTTTCAAGATGCAAAACTAATATGCTTGGAGGTGTCCTGATTTGTTACCGAGGTGAATAATAACAGCACAGGAAAACCACACTGGTTCAGGCCAATCTGACTTACAGAAAATTCTGAGCCACAGAACAACTCAAGGGCAGCTGTATTAATTTTAGGCACACACTGTGAAGAAAATCAGTGACCGAAAAATAGATTGTTCCCGGTCAGAGGTCTTGTCAGAACACCCTTACTTGAATAAATGAAAAACACTCACAGTTCAAGAGTTGTTTGTGATTTGGTTTTAAAAATACATGAAAACACTAACTTCCCTACCTAATTACTAAGTGTAACAGTTTTAATATAGAAAGAAAGTGAAGATGGAAAAAACGTAACTAAGTGAGGTTTGAATTAAAAAGATTTCACTGGACATTAAACTTATTCATAAAAGTTTTCAGTCATTTTCAGTAATTCATTTCCAGTTTCACTATTGCCTTTTTAGTTTGGAAAAACATATAAATGATTTTGTTTAATAACTTTCCCAACCAGTTCTCTTCCCCTTTTCTGGTTTTTAAGCCTTCTTAGAATGTGTAGTAGTAATTATCAACCTCAGTTGCATATTGGAATCTTTGGGTATGGGTCCTGGGCATCAGAATATTTTGAAAGTTGCCCAGGTGATACTAACTTGAGATTCTGGCCGGGAACCATTGGTCTCTAGGTATTTGTTGGTATAGAAACCACAGGAGACAGACTCGCAGATAGGATCCTTAGGCATCGGGTTTTAGGCTTCTAGCTTGGGTAGACCTATTCTAAAAGGCTCATCAGTCTCCTCTCTCTGTGGTTATCCCTGCTCTTTTCCTAACGTCCTTCCAGGTACTTAAATTACAAAACATGCAAACAGTGAGTGACTCCTATACTTTAGCAGAAAAGCAGGTAATTTTGTACTTGATCATTCTTAGATTAATATAAGTCTCATCCTCTAGAGTCTGGTCTCCTTGAGAGCTGGGACCTTTATTTGTTGGGGGCAGGTGGTGGGACCTTCAGTGCCTAACACCCAATACTTGACATATATAACCTCTGTAAATATCAGTTATTGATTGTTTTCATCTTGATTATTATGTATTTTCCTAATTGGGTTTGCTTCTTTATCAACTTTTTCCCTCTAGAATCCAAGCTTAATCCTAAATTTATATTTCGGTCAAGGGAGAGGGAAGGAAATTTCTTTCAGTGCCTATAGGAGAGATGTTGCAGTGTATGTAGGTTTCAAATAAATGCAGTACATGATGTCAGAGCTGCCCTTTAAAGGAAAAAAATAATGTTTGGCAGGTGGGGGTAGAATGGGTTATAGAAAAAGAAGAGGAACAAATGGAAGCAGATCTGCATTAATAAATATTCAGATGGAGTCCCATTCCTATGTGTGTGTTTGTAGGTGGTGTTATTACATGTAGTATTGGGTGATGGAAGTTGTGCACACTCTCATTTTTCACTTTAATTGCCTGCCTGAAAAGATCCTGACAGTTTCAAAGGTTACTGCTGGTTGTATTGTTCATAACTCAGAAGTAATATGCATGTGCAATTTGCTTCATTATTGCCCACTAATAACTAATTCTGGAAAAAGTCTTAAAGCAACTAAAGGAGCCATAATTTGACATGATGGTTTTTTCCTCCTCTTTCTCCCAATCTTCAACCATCCCAACTTAGAGTTAGCCATAGGTGCTGTGGTGGTATGGGTGTGATTTTACTCTGATTTTCTTTTCTTTTCCATGAGTTTAGTATGATATGATTTTTTGAGGTTTTTTTGTTTTAATCTAGAAAAATAAGACATGAAATATTTTGTGTTGCAGATTAGAGCTTCCAGTCCAACAAAATAAACTAGCATTGGTTATTTTATGTTTCATTTAAGATTTGTTTTGGCTTCATGAAAAACCACCAAATAACAATGGCTTCAGTGGAAGAGAAGTTTATTTCTCTCACTTTAAAGAAATCTAGAAGGCGGTTAGTCCACGAGCAGTGTGGGGACCTGCCTGGGAATCCAGACTCCTCCTGTGGTGTTCTACCATGTCTGACTTCTGTTCCAAGGTTAATTCATATCCAGAGAACTTGCAGGAGCTCCAATCATTCTTCCAGTCAGCCTAAAGAAAAACTACCACAAAGAAAGGCACATGCCTTTAAGGAGGCTTTCTGAAGCCTTGCATCCTATTGGCCAAGATGTAGTCACATGGGTGCACATGGCTCAAGGAATGCTGGGAAGTGTGGTCTTTATACCAGGCAGCCATGTTCCTGAGTATTATGGAGGACAAGGGGGAAAACAACTCTACACGTTGGCCTGCAGCCAGCAGTCCCTGCCACCCTTATATGAGTGATGAGTTCTTAGATTTTCTATGCATCATTATGTCACATAAAATGGAAATAATCTACAACGGTGCAGACTTCAATTTTAAAACACTTTCAAATTAAACAACCGAGCAAGTAGCTACACCTAACACATTGCTAATTTAATCCTAGGGTGAAAGTACTATCTTCATTAACATTTTCCCAATGTAAAAACCTGAGACTTGGAGAAGTTACGCAACTAGTATTAAACCGAGGCAGTTTGACTTGTGTGGAGTGGCACTGTAGTCATAAGCAACAGTCAAAAAGTGGGAAGGAGGTTTCCAAGGAGAGGGTGATTATAATAGTGAGCCTTGGAGACTCAGGTTCCAGATCAGCTAACCCAAGGCCAATTTTGACTCAGTTCTTTTTCCCCCTAGTCATTTGTACTCACTCCCTTGTGAAATTAACCGTTCACTTGGTTTCAAATGAAGAACAACCTTGGCCTTTTGGGTTTTTTTTTTTTTTTTATCTCTGCTGGAATTCTACTGGGCCCAGTAGGTTGTCAGCCAATACTTGGCTGTGTTATATGATAACCGAGTTTTTAATCAGGGTAGTTGGGAGTTTACTGTCTATCATTGTTTTGTTTAGAGGGACATGCTCTGGTTCAATTGCCTGTTGGAATGTGTGGCGTTTTGGTGGGATTCTTCAGCACTTGAGTTTCTATCTGTATTATGAGTCCTTTATCTCTCCCTCTGAAGCCTAGACGCCTTGGTTCTGCAAAATATCTTGCCACACATCAGAAGCAGACCTCATTTTCTCATCTACCAAACCCTTTTCACTTTCTAGTTATTTCTTTATGTTTGGTAATGAGACACTCCATTCTATAACATAAGAAAAATCTTCTATTTCCAGTTCCGTTTTTACCAAATCTTATATTTCTGCATTCCAATTTCTCCCCCATCCTCTACACCATCACCGTTTTTTCCCCCTAAAATATAGACCGTATCAGTTTATACCTTTGGTGGTTCTGCATTGTCTGCAGAACTAAGTCTGAACTCAGCATTTTAAGCCTCTTGCAGAGTTCCAACTGCACTGTACTTCTTGCCAGTCCCTGCTCTATTCTACTTCTGCTCACCTGCTCAAACTATTTTCTATTCAGACTCACCATTTTCCTCATCTTTTCTGACCGCAGATTTTGTTCAAGGGTCACATCACATAAATTTTTCTTTCAAGAAATTTTCCTGATTCCCACAGAGAATCACGTTTTGTTTCTACAGCAGTTAATATATACCTCTATAGTGACTCACATCATAGTCTGTCTTGGATTATTGTTAACTATGAATTGTGTTCATCTTTCTTGCTCAGTTGTTGGACCTACCGGCTTAGAATTTCCCCTGACCCACTCGCACATGGCAGGAATTCAGTATGTCTTTTTTGAAAAGAATTCTGTTTCTTTGGCTCCCTTAAGAAAGCCAGAGCTCTCTTCCAGCTCCAAACAACCTCTGCGCTATTCTTCTTTTGTTGCCTCCTAACTATCTTTCTGTCCTCTTGATTTAGACCACAGAAATGATCACCTAGAAGCAATTTAGGAGTGATAGCACCATTCCTCGTAATATTGATGCAGCTCTAAGGCAGGGTTTCTCAACCTTAGCACAATAGAAATTTTAGGTCAGATAATTCTTTGTTGTAGGGGCTATCTTGTGTGTGTGTTGGAGGATGTTTAGCAGCATCCCTGGCCTCTACCCCATAGAAACCACTTGCACTCTCCCCCAAGTTTCTCCAGACATTGCCAGATGTCCGAAGGGGTGGGGACGGGGGGTGGGGGGGCGTGAGCAAATTGTCCATGACTCCGAACCTCTCTTCTTTTATTTATTTATTTATTTATTTATTTAATTTTATTTATTTATTTATTTATTTATTTATTTATTTATTTATTTATTTATTTTTGAGACAGGGTCTTGCTCTGTCACTGGGGCTGGAGTGCACTAGTATAATCATAGCCTACTACAATTTCAAACTCCTAGGCTGAAGTGATCCTCCTGCCTCAGCCTCCGAAGTAGCTGGGACTATAGGTGCACTTCATTATGCCCAGCTAATTTTTCTATTTTTTGTAGAGATGAGGTTTTGCTGTTGCTCAGGCTGGTCTTGAATTCCTGACCTCAAGCAATCCTCCTGGCTCAGCCTCCCAAAGTTCTAGGATTATAGGCGTAAGCCACCACACTGAGCCTCTGAACCACTTTTCTAAAGTATCTCTGTAACTGATAGATGTTGGCTCTTCAACCCTACTGCTTTTCCATGGTACCCACAGACTTCTCCCCTGTGCTTTCTGCCTCAAACGTAATGGCATTTTTAGGTTTCCTGCCCTTGTTTATGAATGACTCCCTATGCTCACTCCCTCTAAAACCTGGCTCAGTTCCCAGTCATCAATAAAGCCTTGTCCGGTTAGCCCTATCTGCCCTCCCTCCCTCATTATTCTGAATTTTGTATCATTTTGTAGCTTTCAGCACATCTGTGCTTAGGTGGTATGAAAGCTGTATATCCTGGTACAGTCATTTATGCCTGGGTCTGTTTTCCTCTCCTGTCTGAATCTCCTAGTCAGAACTGTTTGAGTTAGATGCTTGCTTTTGTGTCCTTTGTGTTCCTGCATGTCCAGAGCAGTCATTTGTTTATTCAGTGTATATCACAGTGGGCACTGATTATTTACAGAGCACTGTGCTTAGGATTATGGCTTCTAAGACCTGATCCCTTTAGGAGTTTGCATTTTAGTGGGGTGATAAGACAGATTTGTAAATATGTACAGGGCAGTGCATGGTAGAGGTGATATATGGGCCTGAGTCTTGGAAGATGAGGATTTCCTTGGGCAAACAGTATTGGGCAGAAGAAGGGGAAGGTCTCCTTTCCATAAACAGATACTTCCTTTCCAGCCTTGAGAGAGGAATTTGAGAGACTCCTTTTCCTGCCTTTTCTTTTGTCACTTAGCAGCTGTCTTCTCTTCCAGAAACCTCCTTATAGACCATTTTCATGGGCAGGGGTGATATAGAAGCTCCTTTATGGTCTTTTGTATTGTATGCTGCTTCCATCCTTCATCAGGTACGTTTCTGTGGAAAGCAGGCATGTGTATTTGTGTATGTGCACACATGACTATGGTATTAAATGGGACCAAGTTTTGGTCTTACTCCAGTTTGAAAGAATTTTATTGTTGTTTAGTCTCAGCACCCCCAAGTCTTTGGAGATGTGTAGGTTGGACACTTCGTAAGCATGCCTGGCAGCCATGACAGTCTCTGGCAGGTTCTCTTGTCAAGGTAAGAGAGAGTGGTGAGAGCTTTGGTGGATAAATCACATCCCATCACCAGTGAAGAGTACGTACTGACAGTGTTATCTTCGTAGATACGGGGCTACACGTCTTATACTTAGGAGAAAATTCAACGAGTCCTAGGAGTTTGATGGGTTGATAAAGATGTAGAAAATATCCTACTTAGAAATTATCTATTTCTGATAACTTTAACCCACTGGCCTGCCAGAAATAAGGAAGACTGCAACATGCTGTT